GCGGGGGGATTCTCTTGCTGCTTTCACAGGGGACCAGGCCTCATGGCCCTGAAGCTTGGAGAACAGATCAAGAAAACTAAACCACTCAGTCTTATCAAATGAGGAAGCATAAAAAGACCTTACTATAGGGTAACCTGTGAACAAAGCATTTTCAGTATAACCAGCTGGGTCATTTTTAATCAGAAGGTGGACATGTTCCTGGAGAAAATTGGTACTGAGGTGCTAACATCCAGGGTCTTCTGAGTTGATACATCCCCAGGAATGTAATAGTGGGTTTTATTTTAAAGATTTTTAGTTTCTTTTTTTAATCAGCGTTTTGTTGTGAGATCCTGCAAATGTATTCTAACCTCGTCCTCTTCAGAATTGGTATAAGAGCACTTCTTAACATCGTCCTTGCTTCACTCTGGCAGTGTCGATCTCCAGTTGAGCAGGGAAACCTCTTTCAGATGCAGTGTGCCATTTCCCAGTTTACTTCCTCCTCTTACCTCCTGTCTGTTTCAGTCAGTCAAAGAAATCAATCAAATCAGTGTTGGAAAAGCAAGAACTTGCAAACCGTGGAAAGCACATTCTGCAGAGCCTGAGCACTCTTCTGGGGAGGAAACTGGAGATGCCTGTACTGGACTTGGAGAAGCAGTCTCTCACCTACAAACAGCATCGATAACCAGCAGAGAGCTGTGTGTTGAGGGGGAAGACTGGGAATCACTGGCCTAGATAAGAGCATCAGCCCTGCTCTGTCTCCTTATTCGCTGTACATTCTTGAAAGCGTTAACAGCTGCCTGCCCTTCATGTCACGCTTTGTGCAAAACAGCTTGCACAGGGAATCTTGATGGTGGCTGTGGCACAGCTGTGTCTCGGGTGTACCCCGAGGCCTCTGTTTCTCCTTCAAGCTGAAACTTTGCAGGTGAAAGTGAAGGTAGTACTGGTATGTGACAGGCCGAGGCATTGGCAGATGAGAAAAATTTGTTTTCTGATAGAACTCATAGTGCCTTCCCTTCAAACACTACTCTTCTAAATCAATATTTAAAGAGAACAAAACGATAGAGCACGTTTTACTCCCCCACCCCACCTTAGTTGATGTCCCCCTGCAAGAGCTTTCGCTCTGCCCTTCCTAGTGTGCTGGCTGGCACGGCTGTGCCACGCGTGTGGCAGGTGACCGTGCTGCTGGGTGCTGCTCTGCAGACCGGCACACCAGCCTGAGATGAACGGCAGGAATGGACCATGGACAGGTACTTCTGTTGCTTTGTTTGTTTACATTTTATGTTAAAATATTGGTTTGAATTTAACTGTGGTAATTTATAGCCTCACGGCAAAATGAAGGAAAATGTCTTACTTATACAGAGAGCAGTATTGTATGAGTTAAATTATCCCGTATTTTTAAATTTTTGTAGCTGGACTACACACAGATCTTAAGTTATGATGTTATTTTATTATTTATTATCATTTCTGTAGATCAGAAGGTTGGCTTCACTGCTAGCACAATTGTAATCTGTTTGTGTGATGTTACCTTCTCCCTGGTCGCTGGGGGGGATGGGAGCAGAGCTGGTCTCAGCGGCTGTCAGGAGTTGCTGCCTCTCGTGATTTCCAAGGATGCTGTCACACCGGGGCAGACAACCTGTCAGGGCTGGTCCGAGAGGGACGGATGCAGTCAGCCCCGTGGGCCCTGTGATATTCCTCGTGGACGATGCTGCAATTTGCTGGTGTTGCCGGTAGAGTCGGCAGTCCCTGAGCTGGTGGGGAATGGTGATCAGGGAGCCGAGTGGCTTTTGAATTGATCACAAAGTGAATAACCGTCACAAGATTCCCTGGCAAGAGCATCCAAAAGGACAAGCGGAGAGGAGGGCAATTGCTCCCGGCAGCGGGTACGAGATCAGGGTGGCCAATAGTGGATCCATGTGGTGGATCACCCGTGCGGGACCAAACAGTCTGCTGGAGAGGGAGCGACCAGCTCACCCCTGCCTGCAGCAGCAATACTCAGCTCTGGGTGGAGTGAAGCTCTTTCCTGGCTTGTTTCTTGTTTCCTCTCTCTTCCCATCCCTCATTTCTCCTCCCAAATGTTCTCTGTCTCTAGGTGGCAGGGCCAGAGATGGCTTTGCTGTCACGGTGTGAGAGGGATTTTGGTGTGGAAGAGGTGGTGTAGATGGTTACTTAGGTGGCTGGAGGCTGGGGTACAGGAATTTAGCAGTGGAGAATTGTCTGCACATAACATACGCACACAAAGAGGAAGACCAAACTATTGCATAAAGAGGGGTTGAGAACTTCCATCGAATGTCCCCCACAGCAGAGGGTGTCAGGCCTTACGCCCCAGGAGAGACTCTGCCGCTCCGATCTGGTAGGCTTCCTGAGCTCCCACGGGCAGGGCTGCTCACGGCCTGTGGGCAGTGCCATGTCTGCCCAGTCCACGGCCCTGCGGTGCCCACTGCCCGTGGGCAGCACTGGTGTCCTAGGGCAGCCCTACAGCCGCGGGCCCAAAGCAGAGCTGCTGCTGGTTCAGGCTTGTCAGAGTCTCTGTGCAGGGACTTCAGCCCATGATGATTCAGTCCCTAACAAAAAGATCCCAGAGGCGTTTTGGTAGCTGTGGTCTCTGCTTAGACCTCCTCCACCATGTGATGAAACTCCTCTGGGCTTGCAGAGAAGCATAGAAGCTTTGATGTGTGGGATTTTGGGACCCTTCTGGGCCAGCTGTTCCAGATGTATGCAGATTCCTCCCCGTCCTTGCCCGGGGACACGCTGGCCCATTCTGCAGCCTGGAAAAGCAGAGCTGAACCCTTCAGGTTGTCTGCTGCCACGTTTAGCTCTAGTTTCTTTACACGCCTGGGTCACTACACCGTTACGGTCCGGCATCGCTCCTACTAACCGCTGCCTACTACGCAGCGTCCCTCTGGGACTGCCACTAGGGCTGCCCCCACCTCGCCTAAATGCGTAACCCTGTACCCGTGGAGATGTAATCCCAGCCTCCTCCTGCGCACACATCTCGTGCCCTCGGCTGCGTGCGGGCAGGGGTGGCTCAGCAGCCCCCCGTGATCTGGGGACGGTTGGTGTCAGGTCTGCTGGGGGTTATATAGGCATTTCCCTTCGTGAACCCTACCCATAGCTGCACATAGACCTGACCTCCGTCTTGCTGTACGGGCACCTCTGCTGCGGTTCCTCGCACTTTCTCTCCTATAGCAGGGTGTGGGGCTGAGAGGTGTAAATCGGCCTGCTTCCTCCTCGCGGTAACATCGCGTTTGCAGGACAGAAGTAAACCATGGGTTCCCTTTTCAGCACTCCGACTACCCTGATCCAGTTCTCACGGCTGCTGACAGCTCCTGAACACTAGCCTAGATTTTCTCCCAGAGCTGAATGTTGCCTTCCCCACTGTTGTGTTAAGTAACCATTTCATCTTGGCCCTGTCCAGTAGTGTTCATCTCTCTCCTCCCTGCTCTGCGGATTCCTGATACAAACTTGATTTTTTTTTTGTATTGAACAGTGTACAGTGATGGAAACAAGAATGACTATCAAAGCAAACAATGCATGGAATAAAAAGCCAGTGTACTTCAATGCTTCTCAGGCTGGTCTGGTGATCTGGGAATGGTTTCTCATTTACTCTGGGGTAATGTCATGAAGCCTTTTAATAACTAACATGATGTTAGCAAGCAGCTATTTGTTACCTGTCTTGGAACACAGCTGAACTGGAACTACTGGGAGGGAGCTCCAAGTAGCAGGGCAGAGGCTTGGTTGGATGCATGTGGCCGACCCAGCACCCACATGGCCCTAAGTGGTGGCTTTTGCTCTTGTCAAATGAGTGATTTTTTTTTTGCAGTGTGAGCTGGGGGATTGCATCTGCAACCACGACTCATCATGGGAACCTTGCTGTCCCACTCGGCTCCAACCTGGCTGGTGGGGAAGGTGCTAAAATGGATGAAGCATTCACTCCATCAGCTTCCTGAGCGCTCTGGAGTCTCCCATCTGCCGCCTTCCATGCCAGAGTTTACTTTATCCTCCAAGTGGAGGGCAAACTCACGGAGAGTAGAGCAAGGAGCTGCAAATACAAAAACCCGGGCGCATAGTATCATCCCTGGGGGCTACTGTTCTCTGGCAACTGGGACAGACCCTACCTGTTTATTTGGAAACCTCCTACTTAGACATGAGCAAATATGTAGGTTTAAAGGTGCTTCTCAAGGACAGATCATTGCCAGCCGGGCACATCCATTCCTTTCTCGCTGCCCCGCTTTAGTCTTTGTGGGGAGGAGCAGCCACTGACAAACCTCAGAAGCAATCTCGTGTGTTCTGACACATGAATGATAAAAACGGCTCACAGCTGGCCCAAAATCCTGAACAATTTTGCTACAGGGTATGCTTACTTAACATCTGATTGACAGAGTCTTCTACAACTGTGCAAGCTCACCTACAGAAGGTGCAGGGACCCTGAAACATCATTATTACTTTTTTTCTCATCTTGGTACTTGTACTACTGTACCTAACAGCACAGAAGTGCATGGTTCATCATTTTAGGCCAAAAATGCTAAATAACTATGGGTTTGGAGAGGGCAGGAGGGAGAGGGCCTGCCTAGAGCTGGGAAATGCTGCTACTAGTGTGGGGATGAAAAATAGCTGCTCTTGCAGCTCAACACAGCCCCACGTGCTGTGGACTCGGAGGTGCCAAAGGATGAGGCCGGGCAGAAAACCAGCCCGCCTCTCTCTCGGAGCGGGCAGCAGCTGTCTGCTGCCACGTCAGCCACACCATCGAGACTAGCTGGGCTCACAAACTGGACTTAGTGGGAAGTGCAGGAAGCCTGTGACTCGGGCTGGTAGGGAGACTGCAGGGAGGGCAGTGCTTGGCCCCTGTGTTCAAGAGCTGGGAGGGACTAAGGGGTTCTGGTTTGCCTTCCTCACAGCATGCTAATACTCCTCTTCCCCGCCCCCCCCATTGCCAATACATTTGCAGTGGGCTGGCAACACCCTCAGGTACACTGGAGACTCAGGCTGATATTAAGGAAACAGGCAAAATTAACGGAAGTGTTCACAAAGCCCCTGTATAGCACTCTCCGTGCACATGCACAGTTAAACATTCATCAAAAATAAGAACCTTACACCTCCTCTTAGACGAGAAGAACAATTAAAAACTGCAGTTGCCTTGGTCCATAGTGGCACAGAGCATGCAGAATATAATCTACAGGAACAGAGACCTGCAGCTTTTGCAAGGCAGCCCCCCAACATCTGGGGCACCTGAGCCATCACAAGCTCTTTTTGCCATTCAGTAACTGAGCGTGGTTGTCTTCATCCAGCTTCAAGTGCTTCTTGCTGTATTTCTTGATGAGGGTCCCTGGTATCAATGCTGCCACAGCCATGGCAAGCAGTTTGAGCAGCGTGTCCCAGGAGAAAATGGCATCCAAAGAGGTGATTTGTGACAGAATGGCTCCTGTCTGCACACAGATGAAATTATATGGTGTAAGACCTGAAAGAATCAGAGCAGAAAAAAACCTGTTAGTATCCCCCCCATGTAAAATTGGCTCAAATATGCCCTTGCCCAAGGCCAGACACAGGGGCCTGTGTTCATAATGGAAAGAACGGTGTGCGATTCTAAACTTTACTGCATTGGTGATGCACGCGTATTTGCAAAATGCTCCCAGACCTCCGAGTATAAGGGCAGCATGAAGGCAAACAGTTAAATGGTGCAGAGTTGCACCTAAAACCCTGCTGCTCTGCCTTCCCCAGCTCAGCGTACTACCCAGGGCTCTGTGATGAGGAGAGAGGCAATGTCATGCTGCCTCCTCAGTCTCCCCGGGCCTTACCGATGAGAACGGAGAAGAAGAACTGGGACACAGGGATGTTTAAAATGGGAGCTGAGAGATTCAGAAACCAGTTTGGTGTCATAGGGAACAGCCTCAGGAACAACAAGAAGAAAAATAAGCAGCTCCTGTTCTCTTCTACCTGCCAAGAGAAACATTCCAAATTATTTCTGCACTTCAGAGCAGTTACAGCAGTAACATCTGAATGTCCATGATACTAAAGTGAATTTAAGTTTTCTTCTAACATGCTGCAACATAACATCAGTTCAGAACTGATGAAAAGCGGCAACTTTGTGGGAGCCTCATGGTGAGCCGGCCCCTTCCATGGAAGTGGTGAAAATGAGATCTAACCTGAACGAGAGATCGGGAAGTCAACAGCAGAACCGCCTCCAGCTGTACAACACAGCACAGGATGGGTGGAGGCAGTTCTGGAGCACAGGGGCTTCCCAATCAATCCATTATCTTACTTCTGATTTTCCTTGGGATCTGGGATTTTCCACGCACCCCCTCTGCAAAGAGGCTCGCTCCCCAGCGAGCAGTCTGCTCCTAGATTGTGTCAAAGGAGGGCCTTAACCCACCTGATGTGTCCCCTGCACGTGTTCATTTTTTTATGAAGTCAACCCAAAAGGCAGCCTCACCCAGGGGGCATTCTGGCTGCCTGCAGAACCAAGCCTGTTCTTACCTTTCTTTGCAGCAGAGCCACTTTATCAGGAAAGTAGCGGACGACGAACTGCTTTCCGAAGGCTCCAGAGAGCAGGTAGCAGCAGGTCGCTCCCACAGACGTCAGGGCTGAGCACAGCACCAGCCCAGTCCACGGCCCAAAGAGGGCTCCGGCCAGGACGTTCTGCCAGGGCACAACCCCGAGTGAGGGCCCGGGGGGACACAACCGGTGTCCCCGCACCCCTCCTGCCTTCAGCCTCGGTCGCTCTGGCTTCCGGAGGGCGTCGGGCAGACCCGTCTCCTCCTGGCAGAGCCTTCGCTCGCCCAGCAAGGCAGCGCCTGCTCCGGGGCTGGGGGCAAAGGGCCT